AAGTGGCCCTTCGAGTCTCTTTTGTCTTTGTCGGCTATACTATCTGCCTAAGACTACTTGCCGCTTTGCGGCTGCTGTCAGGGCCCAAGAAATTAGATCCAAGATAGAGCGGAACAAGTGCGTTGCGTTAGCAGTCGGTGATCGTTCATAAACGAGTGTTAAACTAACACGATCGATCCTTACTGTAGAATGCTTCTGAAGACACCTTCTTACCACTTTGTCGAAAACAGATTCCATCGTGGCTATTCCAAAACCGGATTTTCTCCGAAAACCTTACGGCTTTCGGTTTTTCACTATTGTGTCTTTATTTTAAATTCCAACCTAGGATGAACTGGATGAGGAGGAGACAAAGGCTCTAAAATCTCTACCCGCAGTAGATCCCGAGGAGACTGATCGGAGTCGTTCTTGTCCCTACCTCGATACCATAAATCGCCAGATGTTGGACTTCGATTTCGAAAAACTCTGCAGCGTCTCCCTTAGCCACCTAAACGTGTACGCCTGTCTAGTTTGTGGCAAATACTTCCAGGTAAGCATTGGCATGTGTTTTTGCTTTTTCTGCAAGTCAGAACTCCTGAGTAGTTGTAATGCCAAGCTAAGCAGGTCTACCTACCAGCAGCCCTCGAAGGCGGAACTCATCAGCACTCTTCTCTAATTTTCCCTCAACCACTTGCTTCTGAAATGTTTCTAATCTGATATGCACTTGGCTCTCTTCCTTCTTTTTTTATTCCCATGATCACGCCTGCAGAACCTTACTGGTTTTAACTTGGAGCTCTTTCTGTCCCATGCTGGCGCGTCGTTTCATCTCCCCTCAACAACTTGTCCTTCCTTCGTCTTCAATAACTTTTTTTCGCAGAGTGAGATAGAGTTTTGTTGCTTGATTATAATGTCATTTGCTCATCGGGAAAATTTCATAAAGCTTCCCGCCTTTCACTAACGAAGACTGTCACCGCGCATGGATTAGTCTTGAACCCTCATCCCATCCCATTTCGGCAGGCTCGTTTTTCTATTTACCCCGCCTACTTTCAGAGGGAGTATCTTCTTCCCGAACGCCAGCCTTGTTTATCTATTCGTCCGAAAATGTTAGCCTTAGAGTACATAGAAAATTATCCTGCCTACAGGTTAGGCCTTTTTTCATCGTAACAGGTCAGCAGATGTTCTTTTCGACGCCCCAATGTTTTTTTCATCATTTTTATCACGACACTGTGTCAACCGCCTTTAGAGACAGAGAGGGAGAGAGAGAATACTTTACTTTGTAGGTAATATTCAACCTTCTCAGCAAAAATGACTCCGTTCACGGAGACCAAGGACTAAGGTAAGCTAAAAGGTCATAGAAAATACTCAAAGTTAAAGGTTTACACGAGATCCACATCTGTTATGGAGACAGGTCGACTTTCAACTTCTCAGTTTCCGTTTCTTCACACGTGAGGTAGTTTGCTAGAAATGGGAGTACAGAGTGCTGATATGCTGACGTACGGCGAGACATATGACGGAAGCTTCGGCGCATAGTACAGGACGACTTCGTAGCCATTAGTTCAGAGTGGAGAGGGCGAGCAACCTCACTAAGGATGCGATCAGAAAATTGCTTGACCGTTTTAATGTGGCGCTGTGCTATAATGTCAGCTAAAAAACATACGAAACACCGGCAGCTGAAGAGAGCATTCGGAGGATACGTTTATAAATGACCAGGTCTTTTTTAAGTAAAGCTGGAAAAATAACCGGAGAGCAGTAAAAAAATGAGGGGGAGAATGCAGGCCTCTACAAAACGCCAGATTAGGGCTTGCGGTGTGCGATATGAACGCAAACGGTGGATATAATATAAAAGTTTATGGATTTTTATAAAAAAAGA